ATCAAAATCCCAAGCTAAACCAAGACTAATGAGAACTTCGGCCTTGTTATTTTTTTTTTCCTAATATGTGAAACGAGAATAATTTTTAGTTATCTGTTAGTAGTGAAATCTTTGAATGTATAAACTTGTATTTATAATAGAAAATATCAAAATTTGATTAGAAATTTATTTAATGCTGAAGTTTGCATTACATTTTAATTGTCTTGATAAGTCCACAATTAGCATGAATTTAATAATTGTTTACATAAGATTTTAAGAGTATTCTATGCTAATCATGGTGTTTTATATGTAGTTTGATCGTATGAAGACTTTGGATGGGAAATGAGCGAAAGATATATTTTTCCAAGATTTTGTCGCATCAAACCATGGATGGTGAGCCACGGACATATAACACGTGGTCATGTGATAAAATGAAAGAACATGGAAGAGGATGATGATCGTAGGCAGCACAGGAAGCAATGTAGCACGTGATCATGTGATTCTATTCAAGAGACTTTGTGTTTTTTATGACTCACGTGAGATAGCATGTGATCACGCAAGAACGGAGTAAGAAAATTGGACTTCTGGCCAGAGATATGGCGCATGACAATGTTTTTTTGATCGAGCCTTCAATTTTAATTCCAAGATTTTAGAAAAAAAAATAATATCTGATATTTTATTTGGTTATTGAGGAGTTTAGATATTATTCTGATTTTATTTTCTTTTACCAAAATAAAGGAAGACTTTTTACTAGAAAAAGACTTCTATAAATAACTCAGCAGAAGAACGTAGTAAGACATCCACTTTTTAGTTTTAGACTTCCTTTCTCTTTTCTCCTTTGTTCTTCATTTCTTCACTCCAATTTATAAAATCTTTTCCTTTGTTCTTCAAAATGTTTAGTGGCTAAATTTTATGCAGCAAGAAGAGATGGAGAAATCAGGGAGGTTAATCAGGAAGACTTGGAAAACTGTACCAAGATGTTTGATACCGGATTGGTTCCGAAGCGGCTACTTATCGATGATAGCTTTACGACGAGCTTGAATTGGTATTTCCCACAATGCAGAAGCTGTGAGTAACGACTTGGTGTTTTGCGGATGGATTAACAGAACGGAAAATCAAATTGGATGCAAGGAAAAGAAACAACACTCCTGTACGTATATTATTCTTTCACATTAATAACTGTTTAGGTACTTAAGTATATATATATCTAACTGAAAGTATCATAAACACCATGCGTTAAAAACGTTTTTTCATAAAAATGTGTTTGATAGGCGCGGCTGGGTGATCTGAGTTACTACTATTCTTGCAGGTATTTTAAGGATATTGCGTACTTCAGGTAACTTAATTACACTCTCTCTATGTGGGTTTATTGATTAGTTTGCTGGAAGAAAACTTCGAATTTTTTAACCTTTGAATTTCATAACAGGACCTATCCTTGGATGTCTCTTCATCCTTATTCTAGTTGTAAGTGTAACTTACTTTGCTTATTCCAAGAAAAAACTTGAGAGAGAAAATCAGATTAGGCTAAAGACATTCTTGGAAGATTATGCAGCCATGAAACCCACCCGGTACTCATATGCACAAATCAAGAAAATCACAAACGATTTCAAGGATAAATTAGGTGAAGGAGGTTAAGGGAATGTCTTCAAAGGACAGGTTGCTAATAATATAAACGTTGCTGTGAAACTTTTGCATAATTCCATCGGAAACGGGGAGGAATTCATTAATGAAGTGGGAACAATGGGAACAATCCACCATGTCAATGTAGTCCGCTTGTTAGGCTTCTGTGCAGATGGATACAACAGAGCTCTTGTCTACGAATATCTACCTAATGGCTGTCTGGACAAGTTCATATTTCCGAATGGTCAAACACCTCCGGAAGCACTTGGGATGGAAAGGTTGGGACACATTGCCATTGGCATTGCCCGAGGAATCGAGTACCTTCATCAAGGATGTGAGCAGAGGATCCTCCATTTTGATATTAAACCACAAAATATCTAGTTAGATCATGCCTATAATCCCAAGATATCTGATTTCAGGTTAGCTAAGCTGTGCGAAAAAGGAAGAAGCGACGTCTCCATGACTGGCGCAAGAGGTACAATGGGCATGTCCCTGAAGTATTCTCCAGGCACTTCGGTGCTAATGTGTCTTACAAATCTGATATATACAGTTTCGGGAAATTATTGCTTGAAATGGTCGGACATCGAAAGAATGTCGACTCCACTGTGCAAAATCTAAGCCAAGTCTGTTTTCCTGAATGGGTATATAAACGTCTGTTTAATGGAGAAGAGTTAAGAATATTTCGGGAAGAAGAGGATGAGATGAACCAAATCGCCATGAAATTAGCAACTATAGGACTCTGGTGTATCCAGTGGAACCCGATGGATCGCCCTTCCATATCAATTGTGCTTCAAATGCTTGAAGGAAGTAGTGAAGGTTTAAGTCTTCCACCAGATCCTTTCACTTCTTCTTCTGGCAAGCCAAGGAATCCTGCTGATCCACCAGAGCATATAATACAAACATTGCCAGCAATTTCCGAATGGGAATGAATAATGTATGGTTTATCTGTTTAGACACTTGTAAGTCTGTAATCATATTAAAGTCTCAATATGGATTTGCTTTTGAAACATGGTATTTTGCATTAGTTCGTTTTCACTCCATCCATACATATAACATCTAGCGCAGTATTTTACCTTTCGTCGACTTTGTTGTCAAACTCGCAAGCAGGATAAAAAAAGCCGTCGAAATTTTTTTTTTTTTTTTTTTGGAAATTTTACTTTTCGTCTACCTTTTCGTCGGTATTAACACTGGAACGCCCAAGTTGACGATAAGTCGTGAACTCCATCATCGAGAACAACACGATGACAAAATCATCGACCATTAATTTCTTTTTCATGTCTAGCAGGAATCTATTAACCAATTTTGAAGATTGTCGAAGTGTCGAGATAAATGACCAAGTCGATGAACCAGTAACATTCGAAGGAGCGTTAGTGATGAAGCAATTGGTGTGTTTATTCTGATTCAGACGTTAATTAGTTACAGAAATTACCTCTGAAATTCAGAAATGAAAAAAAAAAAAATAGGTTGCACTATCGTTCTGTGCTGTGGGTAAGGGTTTATTAATTAAAGTAATACTAATTGAAGTAATATGCAATTGGCAGAATTTTACCTTGTAAAATTAATTCTACAAGCACGACAATACTGAAGCCAAAGAACATAAAATAATTAATGCTCCTTCTGTCTCAAAACGGTCGTCCAATTTAGAGTTTTATTTTTGGTACAGTTTATCTTAAAAATAAAAATTTAACTGGACAATCATTTTAGGACGGAAGGAGTAGCAAAGAAAGATTGCATCCGAACAAATGGTATCGGACCATCAGCAAATAGCTGCCCTGAAATGGACAGGTCCAAAGTATATTGCCCTGAATCTTGATGATTTCAAAGCATTCATATGAAACAAGATCATCTCCACATGAAACAAGCTTTACCTCTTTGAATTTGATCTATTTTTAAAGTACTTAGTTCTTCTTAATTAGTCCAAACCCAGAAAAGCAGAAAGACGAGAAAAACCTCTCAATAATTGAAAAAATTTTCTGGGAATCCAATCTTAATTCCGACCCAAATTAAAGGCAGCCAAGAATCTCTTGTCTACGATAAAATCGCCGGTGCTTGAAAATTCACTCTACGAATTACATTATTCTATATACAAGCTTGTTACGATTTTGGTACCTTGTAATATCACTCGAAGCCTGATGTTGACATTTATAAATATTGATAGCTAGAACCATAGTTATTACCTTTATTATCCCTTTATAATTATACTAGTGATGTCTGGTCGTGCAATGCGCGACCCTGGCCCAGTCTATCTGTAGATCTTAGAAATGTTTATATTTGAAAAAAATAAAATTTTGTATTTGAAGCGATATATTTTAGAAATTTTTGAAGGATTTAGAAATGTTTTATAAGTGTGATCATAGAAATATTTGTATTTCGCAAAAAAAAAAAAAAATTGTATTTCGCCATGTATGTTTTAGAAATGTTTTATAAGTGTTACTTATTAAATATAAATAGCTTAATCGAATATATGTGTTGAAGTAAATGTTAGATAAAATATAAAACTATCCTAATAAATTTAAATATTAGTAAGATGATTTATTGATGTTCTCCATTAGTCGTGCCAAATCAATACTTAGTTTTGGAGATTTTTAATAGCTTTGTAATAAGCTTCATCCGAAGGGTATACGCTTAAAACAAAATTGACACTTTGTAACAAAAAAACCTAATTGATCAATTCAATTTAAAAAACCACTCTAGTTGAATGAAACATAAAGAAAAAATTAAAAAAAAAAAAACGTGTCACGTAAAGTGCAAAGGGAGATTTAGTAATTTAGTTATGGTTAGACAAAAGGGCAATTTAGTATTTTCTACATGACACGTGGCAATCATATGAGGTGTTTGAAAGGGAGGTTTTTGTTGCTAATATAGTAGGATGTTCAATATTAAATTCATGATAAACTTGCACAGGTAACACTAACAAGTACTGTAACAATACATTAATAAGCATACTTCTTTGACACAAGCCGAAGAGGGTTTCTCTTATGCATAGTGATCCCTGGCAGTGTATCGGTATCGATGTCTTCTTTTTTCATTCCAATGGGAAGTTCCCAGTCAAAAGAGTAGAGAAGATTGGCAAGTAAAAACTTCACCATGGGTAATGTCAAAGGAATTCCAGGACAACCTCTTCTTCCTGCCCCGAATGGAATTAGCTGAAAATCATTTCCTCTGACATCGATGTTACTATTCAGAAATCTCTCCGGGGAGAATTCCTCTGGATATTCCCAACTTTCAGGATCTCTAGCAATAGCCCATGCATTTATGAAAACCATAGTGCCAGCTTCAATATCGTATCCTTCTATGGTACAGTTTTGCGAAGTTTCTCTTGGTATGAGAACTGGTGACGGGAGATAAAATCTGAATGTTTCTTTTATGATTGAATCCAAATAAGGGAGGTCTTCAAGTACTTCGGCCATTGTTCCCTTCTTTTTAATCAAATCTCGAATTTCATTTTGTGCCCTCTTCATAACAGAAGGAGTCTTCATTAGTGCTGTCATAGCCCATGTAATTACAGCTGCGTTTGTATCTGTGCCAGCCACAAATATGTCCTGAATTTATAGGTAAAAGTATCAAGGTTAAAAAATCTGAAATTGAAAATAAAAACCTGTAACTAAGTTCAAATGTACCATATGAATTTTCGTTACTAATGATACCTTTAGACACTGTTGAAACATAAATTAAAAGATCTTTTCATATGTGGCTAAAAAATGCCCATCTTACAACTGTAGTTTGTATGAAAACTTCTGGTGGGTCCAGATAACATTTTAGTATTCACAAAATTGTGTGCTTCTTTTTGTGAAATTTATCATAAAATAATTGATTAACTTTAGGGAACTTACCATGAGCATTGCTTTGATGTGATCCCAAGTAAAATCAGTAGAGGATGATTGTTCTTGCTTGATCTGAATCAAGAGATCAAGAATGTCATCGTTCATTGCGTCTGGCCTGTTTGGATTCAAGTGCTCATTTATGAGGTCTTGGTAAAACAAATCCAAGTCTCTAGCATTCTTCTCAAGACGATCAAACATTCCTGAAAGCTTATCCATCCAGCTTAACCAAGGAAGATAATCAGAAACAAAAAACCCGGCGAACAAGGCTTGGCATTCATGCAAAATCTCTTCAAATCTTCTCTTCTGAACGTAATCTTCTTTGCCATACTTCTTTCCGAATGCGATGCGACAGACTACTGAGCTCGTGAAATTCGTAACCATCGAACTCAAGTTGATAACTTGAGACGAACAACATAAATCCGAAATTTCATTGATCAAAATGGAAACTTCATCTTCAATAATGGGATGAAAGGATTGAACCCTTTTCGCGCTCAGAAGATGAAGGACCGTAAGCTTTCGCATTTTACGCCAATACTCTCCGTAGGGAGAGAAAGCCACTTCCAATCCATTGTAAGAATACTTCTGGTGGCTAACAAGCCGTGGGCGGTTGGAAACCACCAGATCGTGGGTTGTTAGGGCTTCTTTTGCGATTTTCGCCGACGAAATAACGACTACTTTCCGGGAGCCAAGCCGCAATGACATGAGAGGACCGTACTTTTGGGAAAGGTTTTTCAAGAACAAATGAGGCTTTAAGCTATCAAATTGATGCAAGTTTCCAATGAAAGGCAGTCCTGGAGGGCCTGGAGGTCTATGAATCTTTCTTGTTTTGTGCTTTTTCTGAAGATGAAGAAATAAAAGAAAGGGAAGAATTGAGATTAAGAAGAAAAAAAGAGACCATGTAGCTGCCATGTTGATTTGATATGGTTTAAGTTCTAGCCTTAGTATTGATAAATATATAGAATGACACATTCCAGAGAAGTCTTAGTCAATTCTACAATAATTGTTTTTTTTTTTTGGCGAACAGTTATTGTTTTCTAGCCACAAGAAAATGCATGTTCGTGCGTAAAATAGATGTCAATTGTCAAGTCCTGTTGGTCTCTGTCCATCACAAATCCCCGAATATAGATTTAGAGCTGGATCTCAATTCAGTTAAGGACTTTCATTTTTATATAAAATCATGGTAATCTTTAATTAATTATAGAGGTAAAGATATTACTTAAATTTCAATTAATGGTTCGAACTTTATTTTAATACGTAGTTGTAATTTGTAAAGGCTCGTTAGAACTCATCAGCCTAATTTCCATATTTTATGAATAAAGTTGAACGAAATGATGAGACATCCAAGTAAGGATACTGTGACTATTGATTTAGGATGTAAGAGAATGAAAAATTATTGATGAAATTCCGTACTTACATGTTTTTTGTTAAATTTTACAATCACTCTTTATTATGGTTAATTTTTCTTTTATTTTCTTTATCGTGTACACCCATTACGTGATCACGCGACATGAGTTAGCCATTTAGCAAAAAGATAAAATTTTATTTGATTTTTCCAAAATATATGACAAACTTTAACCAAAAAACGACAATCAAGCTTTCAACTTTTCGAAATGAATGATTTGTCTTCAGACAAAAGGGTAGTTCTTCCCTATTGTGTGCATGAGGAGGTGGTTGTGAGAAACGTTTCTGTTGAAAATCTAAATGATATGATAAAGACATACTTCTTTTGTTTCAAATTATTATTCAATTTGAATTTTCATTTTTCTTATAATTAATTACAAAATAAAATTTTAAACTGAACAATTATTTCATAACAAAAGAAATAATAGTTTAATGATGTATACTCCTTCCCTAGTTATAATGAATCATTGAATGGACCTATAAGACAAGCTCAGCAAGTCGTAGGGGCAGAGTGAGATGGGATGAAGCCAATATTGGGGAAATTGAAGCAAATAAACCTATAAGACAGAAGATTACAGAGCAAAAGACACCATATTATTAGAGGTGGTGCTGACTGAGAACACAAGTATAATTGAGCAAATACTTGAGAAACGATTGAGCTGCTTGGCGGCTATGGAGCTTCGAAATGGTGGCGGCAATGAAGCTAATTGGGCCGACCCGCCGTTGTTCTGAGTTTTTTTTTTTCCTTTTCTGAATGTGATTGCTACTTAGCGGCAATGAATCATTAATGAATTGATCACATTGGTGCTTAAAGGAAGATCAAAGATGCTGTCAAGAAAATGTATTATATCCAGACCAAGAAAGTTAATACTTTGATCTGGTAAGGTTGTTTTGGTTCATTTTTTCCATCATGTTTGAATTGGATTCGAGTAGTTTAGTTCTCGAATAAGATATTCATTTTCATTAAACTCGTTCCCCTTTCCCTGGAGTTCAAGCATGGAAGTATGAAATCCAGAACATGAAAAAGATTGGATTTAGGCTAGATATTAAAATGAGAAATTAGAGGTATGAAGCTGTGAATAATCTTGCAGCATATGCAGTTGAAAATGTCATTATGCACAGTCAAAATTAAACAATAAATAAATTAAAAAAATCATTGAATGGACCATTAGAAGCTGATCACTGGCTTGCTAGGTTTGGGAATCATCATATTCAACATTCGACTGCTGGATTAAATTGAAAGATGAGGAAGATAATGATGTTGGACGAAATTAATCAAATTAAAAGATGATTTGATTTAGAATTCGTGATCAGAGAATTGCATAACTTTGCAAGAAGAAATAAGGGAAGTGAGAGTTTTGTCATGTACAGATTCTGAAGAAGAAATAAATCATGATAGTATTTTTTCTAACCTTTTTTTAGGCATAGTATCTATATTCTGTATCGATTAATTCGATTCAAAAAATCATGATAGTGCTATGCTCTTTGGTCGGTTTGGTGACAATAACATTCCTGGGAGTGTATGTCTTTGGAAGTACTGGCATGGACTTATTCAAATCCATGTGATGTAAATCAATATACAAACAGACAATTAGCTCAGAAATATTGCAATGGTTATTATTCTGAACCACAATATTTGGAATTTTTTTATTAAAACGTGGCTAAAATCTACAATTGGCTCCTAGCTAATAATGCTTAGATTTTATTTTGTTGGGTTACATTTGTAATACCCGGACACTAGGAATCATAAGATGTGTTCAAACAATTTGCAAAACTCATGGAGACATGGACTGTCCATGTGTTATACTTCGATTTCAGGATACCGGAATATCACTTTTTACTGGAGAAAACTCTGTTTTCTGAATCCAGGATCTTTATCAAGAGCCATATAACAATTAACATGACATTGATGCTATATATGGTTAGTATTGATAGTTACAAAGTGTTTAACTTACTGGTAAAACTAACAGATTCAACGAATTCTGTCCTAATGATTCCAAATTATCCAGGCGAAAGCGTAAATCTTCATCACAAGAAATCAGAATCCAACCATCTTCATCCTCGTACTTCACTTTGAAGTTCTCAATCTCTAATCTGAACCTTTTAGCCAATGCAGCTCGCAACTCTTCACTCCCCGAGGTATCACAGAAAGGGAACTTCACTATGTCGTCTCTACATGTTGCCTTGATAACTATGTTACTTCTGGTTTCATCAGTACTTAATGCCTCTTTCTCCCTTACATAATTATTTGGACACCTTCCAATCTCTGCTGATTCTTGGATAACTTCGCTATCACCGTCAGTTGTTGGGAGTATTGGACATGGTTGATTGTGTTGGAGGGCTTGATATCTCTTATGCGATGGCCATTTTGTGATGCCAAAAACACGACATTTGCGTTTCAGAGTAGATCGACTTACTGCAAGAAAAGTGACAAAACAACAGCCATGGCACAATACATTAAGCATAAAGATGAGTTGAATGCATATATAAGAGAAGGAAACTTAATTAAAAAGGATGTTTTGAATATCAAACAAAACCTCCGAGTTTGTGTGCAGCATCTGCAAGATTTCTGCCAAAATGTTGCTTGATTATCTCGAAGGAGATTTCTTGTGTATTCTGTGTACTTGGATGATCATTACCAGCTTCTAAGGTTGATAGTTCAAGGGACGATGAGAAAGGTAATTCAGGACTAATCAAAGTACTGCCACTTTGACATACATCAAAATAAATAAAATTTTCATCATCTTTGTGAGAGAATTTGACTTCGAATTCCTGAAGTTTTTCCAAGCCTAAATCTACATTAAGCTCAGAAAGTTTCTTCGACAACGAGAACAATATTGATTTCATTAGAGCCTCTACATTACCATCACCATCCCATTTAGGTGGCAGAAAGACTTCCAATACCAAAGACTGAAGCTTGGGATGGACTAATTGCAAGGGAACAGCAAAACAAGCAGCAAGACCCGATGCTCGTGTCAAATGAAGGAGAGGGTAATCTGAGATACAGAGTTTACTTACATCTCTCACAAAGCATGACTTTTGTCCTGAATATGCTCTTCCAACCAAACCTTTCCAATCATTTACCGCATACGCTTCAGATTCATAATTGAGTTCAGTAAACTCCCCAAAGTATTTCATCTCCCGGTCTAAACACGTGAATTCACAAAACAATTGAGTAGCCTTCCTACTCGCAACATTCGAGGGACTGCAACTACTATCATCACATTCATCAACAAAAGACTCATTATTAGGACTACTGCTACACATGCAGGGTACCCAAACCTGGATAAGAGGAAGTCGGTGTTCTTTCCTCACAAACCACAGCACATCATAAAAGTCCACTGTTGATTGTTGAACATTTCGACGAATCTGGATTTTGCAAAAAAATAAATAAATAAATAATAATAATAATAATAATAATAATAATAATAATAATAATAATGGCTACCATATCCATATGAAACATGAATCGACAGGATTAGGCATCAGTCTCTACTTACTTCTTTGCATTTGTGGAAATGTGAACTTGGACATTCAATATCTAATCCCTAAGAAGACAATTCAAAACGAGATTCTAAGATGGATGAAAACAGACTAATTGAATTATTGAGACACTTTGAGTATTACTAACTAAAAGAATTACCTTAAGTGCTGCAGGGAGGACCATGTAAAATTGGTTTACAAAAGGAACTCCGGTTCTGAATGATACACACTCAAGCACTCCAACACATTGTTGTTGCTTCTGCTGCTGGACGTCGCGAATAGTCATGAAAAGCGGTAACGCCCAATATTGCAAGATACCGCAGTACAAAGCATAATCCCTGAGTGGAAACTCCTCCGCGGAGTAACACTCGATGTTTGGACAATATTCAGGGGATCCCTGTCTGAACACCCGGCCGATAGGACCAAGTTGAGCATCATCTTGGGTTTTGTTTCCTTGATTAATGCAACAATACCTATATCTACAAAGTCCATTGTAAAGTTCACCAACACCAAAAGGCTGTTCTGATGCACTCAGCATTACATCCCCATTTCTAGTTGTTATGGGTGTCCAAAACTGTACCAAGATATCATCGCTCGAAAACTCTACCGAGGCAAGCAAAGACTTTATTCTGTCTTGAATTGAAACTCTTTCTGGAATATTGGTCTGATCAGGATCTGAAATTGTATGATTTTCCCAAAATAACTACATGTGTGATGATTATAACGCGATACAGAGTCAGACATGTTCATTACTTTTGTTTTATGTCATGCCTATGAACCATCTCTTATTCTACAGTGAAATTACTCCTTAGCCTTTTGTTTTGAACCTGATCTCATGAGTCGTGACTACAATCTCCTAAACTTTACCCACCCGGCCCTCACTATATCTTTTTACTTCAGAATTATGGACTATACATTTATAACCATTGAAAAAAAAAAAAGAAGAAAGAGAGAAAAAGAAAGAACTCGTGTGTTATAGTAATTATTTACATTCATATAGAAATTCACTTACTTGTAGGAGTTTGCTCTGAAACTTCTGACCAGAAAGCTTTCAACTGACCAGGCTTCATCTGCGGCCGGGAGAATTCATGGTAATTTCCAGATCCAGGCATGTAAGTCACAAAATCATGATTTGAGCATTTCTCATCATACTTTCCCTGATAGATTTCGTGTAGGTCAGGATGGCCTGGATACACTAATGTGGAATTCATTTTTTTTTTTTTTGGAAAGAAAAACCAAAAAAAGGAACCACTAAAATTTTCAACTCTTACCCACCCATCATCCTTCAATCTAAATCGCATAGAACTCCACCGGTCAAAGAGTTGATTCTAATCAAAGTAGTATACAAGTTGTGTTTCCCAATGACTAGGCAGCAGCTGATTAAGTGTGCAAACGTTGAAAATTATTTGTCGGTATTTGATTTCGGCTCACAACAGTTGACTTTTTTTTTCTCCTTTTTCTTTTTTTTTTCTCCTTTGTTTATCTTATCTGTTCTCTCCGCCTAACTAATATTCCAACATTTCTCTAAAAATCTCTTCTGAGCTTACCAGTAGTTTATAATGTATATGACTGAAATATTCAGGAACAGGGAAAGGTGAGAAATAAATGAAATAGAAGAATGAAATCGGTGCTAAATTAAAGATCAGCTGGACATCGTGACCTTCAGTATCGGTATAATCCCTCTCGGGGCATGACGACTGAAAATACAATATATGTTGTCGGAGTTTTTCGACCTACTTACTTATGTTCTAATAATAAAATTAGATACACTACAACAAAAATGAGTAGTTTAGACACTTTTTTGTGTCTCAATAAGTGGTGTAATAAGACACATGTGATTCACATTGCGTGGGACACTACTAAATAGTGTCTCCTATAATCGAGTCACAATAAGTCATAAAACATTTGAAAGTGTATTATTAGATTGTCACTTATTAAGACACTTTAAAGTGACCCATTAAGTAGGGTAATAGTTCACAAGCAACCCCACATAGTAAACTTATGATAGTGTTTCATAATATGCATACACTTTTTCATTTTTAATAAGACACTTTTCAGCAAATATCCTAATACACATATAATGAGACACATTTTAGAAAAAGTGTCCCACTATAAAGGTGTTAATAGTCCATTTTTATTGTAGTGATAGTACGAACAAATTAAATGTTATACTTGTTTCATTGAAAAAATAAAAGGATCTTAATTTCATGAAGCAAACTTTTTACCTTATTTGAAAGCAAGTTAAAGGAGAAAAAAAAGATTGAACCCTTTTCGGGCTCAAGAGATGCAGTACAGTAAGCTTTCGCATTTCCCTCCAATGCTCACCATATGGAGAGAAACCAACATCCAAACCATCGTAAGAACACTTTCGGAGGCTAACAAACGATGGACGGTTTGAAAACACGAGATCATGGGGTGTCAGGGCTTCTTTCGCAATTTTCGCCGACGAAATAACGACTACTTTCCGGGAGCCGAGTCGCAATGACATAAGAGGACCGTACTTTTGGGAAAGGTTTCTCAAGAACAAATGTGGCTTTAAGCTATCAAATTGATGCAAGTTTCCAATGAAGGGTAATCCTGGAGGGCCAGGAGGACTATAAATCATCGTTGTTTTGTGTTTTTTCTGAAGATGAAAAAAGAAAAGAAATGGAAGAATTAGGATTAAGAAGATGAAAAGAAACCATGCAGCAGGCATTTTGATGTGATCTGGAATCTTCAGCTAGCAATTAATTATATGCTTCTGTTTCCCTGGACAAGTATGCACATATATAGAATGTTATTACGCTTCTGTATCAAGAAAAGTCGATTTTGCAATAATTTTATGAGAACAGTACTTCTTTTCTTGCCACAAGAAAATGCATTATTGCGGAAAATAGATGTCAATTGTCCAAGTGTAGTCACCGTCGCAGGGATGCAATAATTAATTGAGTTGCTTAGTCTTCCAAGTTTGAGTTAATGTACAAACTCTATCATGTGTGCTTAACAATGCAGACTTTACCGTTATACCGAATCATTGTTTTTATTACTTCATAAGGAGCAAAGTATGTAACTTGAAATGAACACACATTCATAGAGTCATTAACTTTTATGAATAAATTGAAATGGAATAACGAGACAATTAATGAAAGAAGTTAAAATTCCTTTTCAAAAAAAAAAAAAAAAAGAAAAAGAAAAAGAAAGAAGTTAAAAAAAAAAAAAAAAAAAAAGGTTGCTGTCCTTGATGAGATTTCATCCCTCATCCTTATGTTAAATTTTTTAAATCTTTCTTTAATTTGATCACTACCCTGTTCTTTTATAATCGTGGCCATAATGGTAGATAATGACGCAAACTGTATTATACGTAGGGAAAACTTTTGACAAAGAGATAAAATTTTCCAAAATTATGTTACTCTAAAGTCTAACCTTATAAAATTGACGATTGCTGAACTGGAATTTTCTGAGTGCTTTGGTAGATGTGTTTTTTTTTCTTTTTTTGGTAAATTTGTAATTGCTGACCATTTTTGGAGATGAGTTAGGTGTATAATAGGGAGGGATATTTTCCATTTTAGTGATTCATCACTTCTTGTAATCATAATGCGACCAAAATTATGCATGGTACGTGGGTACAAACACGTGCATGAAAATAGATGTAATTGCACGAAAAACAATTGAATATGAAAGGTAAATGAGGCCGAGAAAAAAAAAAAAAAAGAAAAGGAAGAAAACGAAGATGAATCACAGGATTAAGATAAAGCTGTGAAGCGCTTAATTAGTGTTCGCGAAATTGCGAGCTCAGGGACTATGGATGTGTTACTACAACAGCACGAGGAAACGAAACTAAACAAACATTTTTTTGGAGGGTGAGGCGGTCAATAGCAAAGCAGCCAAGCAACCAAAGGGCAAAACAGCAAATGGGTGGGTACTCATTTGAGAAATTGACAGTGGAAGTGCGGGGCGCGGGATTCGATGGCTGGTTTGTCAATTTAATATTAGGCGTACGGAGTCTCACATCGAAGAATTGCACCTCGATACCCTTGTTTATAAACCTGGGATTGGAGGTTATTGTTTGACCCGGATGACGGAGGTGGACTAAGCACACCCTCCTTTCAAAATTCCCGGGCTTGAAAAATTGTAGCCCAAAATCAATATGGGTGTGAACAGGTCGGTATATCGATCTTGACGGGAAATAGGGTTCGCAAAGGTGGCCGCTCTTTTTTATTTGGCCCAAATTCTACGCTTTGTTGTCAACATTTTCTATTCAATTTTCTTTTTCTTTTTACTCATTAAGTTTCAAAAATGATTTTTTTTTGTGAATTGCGTTTTTGTTTTTTTTTTAATAATTGTTTTAGGTTGTTCCTACACTACTATATATTATTTGGTATATTTTCCTCCAAATAACATCATCATATTTTTAAGTCTTATACGATGGAAATACTACTTCAAACTCCAAGTTAGAGAAAGCATGTAATTCCAAAATTCTTGATCGAAGCAAAAAATATTAGTGCCTTTGCATATTTTCACTCATATGATCCTTCCATCCCAATTTGAATAGCTGGAACCGTGCACATAAATAAGAAAGAACTCGTATGTTACAACTAACATTCATGTAGAAATTCACTTACTTGGAGTTGGAGTAGCTCGCTCTGAAATTTCTGACCAGAAAAATTTCAACTGAACTGACCAAACTTCATCGGCGGTCGGGAGAATTCATAGTAATTTAGCTCCGATCATGTAGGTCACAAAATCATGACTTGGAATGTTTCTCATCATATACCCTAATACTCCTTCTGTCCCACAAAAACAGTCCACTTTGAATTTTGAGTTTTGTACTGTTTTAGTACAAATTTGAAAACTCAATATAAACTATTTTTTTTAGAACGAAGGTAGTATATTTCATGCAGTTCAGGATGGCCTGATACTGCAAAATCGGTCTCCAAGAATCCAGGATTCACAGAGGTATATTTTAGAGAATTAAAAACAAGAAAAAAAAAACACAAACTTTTAACTTTCATTCGTCCTTCAAGTTCAACTACATGTGCACAGAGTCAACCAGGAAAAACGGGCATTTATTTGTTTTATGAGTTTTGTGTGTTCCTTCTAGAGAATCAAAAAGATTCATGTAAAAAGGGTTCAAATTACTGGAGTTAGAGTTTGGTTTCTCTTGTATAAATTATAATACAGAAGTTAGTGTTCCCCAATAGCTACAAACATTTGAGAAATATTTCTAGGTATCTGATATAGGCACAATTAGACTTCTTTTTTTTTTTTTTTCCCCCTTCTATCGTTCCTCTTTGCTCTATCATATCTGTAAAATTAAATTGATTTCCGAGACTAAGTTAACTGGAATCAGATCTCAGGAGTAGTCTGATGGAATGATTTTCGGTATTAAACTGTCCTGATGATCTCAAACCATTTCAAGGACGAGACTTAGGAAATTAGGCGTTTAAATGGAGAAGACACTTAACACACAAACAATTTTCATATAAATGTTTTCCGGCATAATATGAAGGCAATACCAATGAAATACTGGTGTTTTCCTTGAAAAAGAAAAAAAAAAAATGAGAGTAATCCCATTGATGACATTGCTCATTTATGAACAACTTCATCAGAGAAACAAAAGCTTATAATTACTACAACATCCGTAATAATGTGCAATAACCAGAATAAAAAAATTGAAAAGATTTAAACAACTATCAAAATCTGCTGTAGATTGTATCGTCTGTACAGATCTTTTTATTCTATACTAACTTTGCGCTGAATAGGCAATTTTAGATGCCTTTTGCTTTTGGGTTTTTGCCTTCGTCAGATTTCTTCCGAAATGGTAAGAACTTCACTCCATCCATAAATGGTTGTAAGACTTCCGGTATTTTAACACCACCTTCCCTCTGATAGTTTTCAAGAATACAACACATTGTCCTCTCTGTAGCTGTGAGTGTACAGTTCAACAAATGCACATACTGTTTCTCTTTTTCATCACCCTTTTTTTGCCGATACAGAATCTCCAATCTGCTCGACTGATAATCCGTACAGTTAGAACAGGACACAAGTTCTCTGTAGGTTTCAGAAGCAGGGAACCATCCTTCCAAATCATACTTCTTTGCAGCCGCATCGATTAAGGCACCCGATACATAGTTCACTGTTCGGTACGGGATTTTCAGCTTCTGGTAAAACTCTTCCGAGTTTTGAATCATTTCATCAAACATAATCCAGGACTCATTGCCATTTGGGCTGGTCATACAGAACTGCTCCACTTTATCAAACTCACGAGTTCTAAAGATCCCAAGTGTATCCTTTCCGTGAGAGCCGGCTTTTTTGCGAAAACAGCTCGAATACCCGGCGTATCGGAGCGGAAGCTCGGACGGATGGATCCATTTATCCATGTGATAAGCACACATTGGCTGCTCAGATGTTGCTATAAGGTATTTGTCAACTCCATCACCGGTTATTCTGTAAAGTGCTTCGTCAAATTCAGACAATTGGGCACACTTTCCCATGATTTCTGTCCTCATGAAGTTTGGAGGGCGGATTTCTGGATACCCTTTGTCCCTCAGAAACTTGAGACCGAAATTAATTAGAGCCCGATTAAGACGGGCACCGTCTCCGATAAAAAAGAATCCTTTGTTTCCGGCTACTTTTGAACCCTGTTCTGTATTTGCAATCCCCAGAAGTTCAACCAGTTCAACATGGTTTTTTAGATTCCGTTCAGCCCTTTACTCTTCTTCCAAGAAGGTTCCAATTACTCTGTTTTCTGCCTCATCTTTGGAAACCGGAACTGTATCGTGCACTATATTGCCGATTTTCCCCTGTTTTTCAATTACTGCTTGTAAAGCCTCCTTAACTTCTGTACCTTTTTCTTCAATCTCTGTTTTTTATTATTTCTGCACCCTTTTCTTCTGTCAATCTTTTCCATTCTTCATCGATCAAAGTTTTGCGTTCATCATCGATTAATGTTTTGAGCTCTTCTGAGAATTAGTCTTCAAAAAATTTCTCTTCTTCAGTCAAATCTTTGACTTCATCTGTGCTTTTGGCGAGGAATCCGTCGATTTCTTGATTGATCTGGTTCACAGCGGCGAAAAGGGCTTTGCTGATGTTGTTGGACTCTTTCCGCAAATTCTACAGCTCAAATAGCTTACTACGCCAAATTTGGTCAAGCCGTATGACTTCATGTCTTCATCAACCACATTATATGCGGCGAAACGACACCGTTGAGATTCCCTGATGCGTTCTGGGTGTTCTCTAAACAGGTTTATGTCCAACATCCTTGGAGAGCGGTGGATTTCGACTTGGCATAAAAACAATAAAACTCTTTGTATTAATTAATCGGCAACACACAACTCCGCAAGCTTTCGATTCACCAAAAGTGCTGTAAAACCATTTCTCCCTCTAAAACACAAGAGAGAGAAAGTCCTCTCTTTCTCTAAGTAAGAAGGGCTTTTATTCCAAAACCACTATCCTATATTTCCACTCCTAGTTTTTCCAAAACCACTTCCATTTCTTCAAAATTTCCTACTTCCATTCGGATAGTGGAAGATTACTTGGCAGCTAGTAGCTCAAGTTTGCCATTTGTTCAACATGCAGCTGAAATTTTTTTTTTAATCCACATTTTTGAAAACCGAATCCACTTATCAAATCTCATTAGACATGTTTTAAAAACAACCAAGATCTCATCAATGAATCTAGATATTAATATATAGCCAGTATAAAGCACCTACCTTTTATTCTTCCTTTTTGTTTGTTTGTGGTTCCAATGCATTAATGGCCTTTCCAATGACCCCAATTTGGGTGCTCAAGATTTCTTTTACCGAAAAAGTATAACACCTTTTCAAATCCTCGACTGCCCCAATTCTCTTATGCTCTTTCCAGTCATTTTCAAATTTCCACTGTTGCTGATCCCTCTTTACTGGATAGCAGTTCTTCTAATACTTTAGTGTTTCCTTCCTTCATATCTGCTTTATTCTTTCTTTCATCATGACTCATAGGCATGCGATGTATGAAGATTCGGTAACAGACTTGTCTCTTCAAGGTTCGGAGTTCTAAGAAGAAGAACATGATTTTAATCCAGCCACTGAAGTGCACCCTCAGTTTATATCAACTACTTATGAGAGATCTCTACGAGTCCCGCTTAATGACTATAATACGAGTCTTTCTCGAGAAAATTTCAAATTATCCATGATGGGATATATCCTGGATGATAGATCTTTCACAGATGCGGACATGCAAGCTTACATGGCAGAGAACTCGCCCATGTATACCAGAATCCTGCATTATGACCGAAATATCTTCATCATTAAGTTTGCTTCAAGGGCTGATCTCCTCATGGCCTTAGACAATGGGCCTCATGCGGTTGATTGGGGCCTTCTAATCCTTTGCAGGATATATGATGATGAAGATCTGGTGTTGGACAGTCTTCAAATTGACAAGCTAAGTGTCTGGGTTTGCATGCATAGAGCTGCTATATATCACATCTTACAATTACTGTGGTGCTAGAGATCTGACAAAGAATTCGGGGGATATTGCAATTATCAAAGAGGACTGTGTTAATCTCCGAAAAGCCACCTTTATCCGCATCAAGATCTGGATTAATCCAGGAGATCCACTCACTCCAATATTTCATTATACTAAAAGAAATGGTAAGCTGTGTAAAATTCGATGTAAGTATGAGTGTGTACATAAATTCTGTACACATTGTGGTAAACTTGGTCATCTGGCACAAAGGTGTCTTATGGTTGATGATGCAGCTCTCTTTAATTACTTGGATAATCACTTCATGAATCGGGCCATCAAAAATGATTCTCCAATGCTAATTGATGCTCAGCGTCCACTGTTTTCTAGCTCTATAAGGGCACATGGACATAAGCAGAAACGAACTTCCAAAATCATGGATAATAAGTATCTAAAAATGCATCATTTCTATGAAAATGTGCCAGAGCATTATATTCAAGATGGTTTTCAAATTACAGAGGTGGATTCCTTCCCTGCCTGATGCTATGTACCCTGCCATGTTCCCTGAAGATGATGATGATGATGATGAGGATGGACAAGATGATCAAGCTCATGATGATAATAATAATCAAGGTAATGATGATCACAATGGGGATGATGACAATGATAATCTTGGTGGTCATAATAATCCCAATGGAGATAGTGAGGCCCTACACAGAAATCATAGAGATGACAGAGATTTTTATCCGCCAAATTCAATCCGCCTCAATTATGGTGAGTTGCTTGCAAATGGCTTTCCAGAAACTTCCAGAAAGGCTGCTCCAGCAGCACAGGAAACTTTGTCAGATAATTCTAACCCTGCTTCTACTGGTACGTTTCATTCTGTGCCTGTCAATTCTTTTATTCTACAATTCCTGATTATGCCCTGCATAACTCATCTGACTCGGAGATGTCAGAGTCTTTTCATTCTGATGATGTGTCAGCAACATCTCGACTTTGGTGCTGATTATGATGTTTTTAGCAACCTGAATCTAGCATTTGTGGGTGATGTACATATATCCCCAAACTCGATTTTTGATGTGATAGTATCGGATTCAGAATCTGTAACTAGTGATATTAGGTCTGAGAACCTGTCAAAGCCTGTAAATGTATTAGCAGCAGATGTCCTTTCCCAAGCCTCGGATTCTAGTTCCTTTTTGCAAAAATCTTTAATGTACTATTCAGCTTCGGAGGAGAATAATGGACTGCCAACTAGTGAGTCTGAGTCTGAGACGTTCTCCTCCATCCCAAGCATGGCCATTCCAGAGACCACTCTGTCTGTCAAGCGTAAGGGTGCATGGACAATGTCAGCTCCACAATTGGAATATGAGAGTAAATCAGAATCAAATGAGGAGGCACATGCCTACCACATGAAAGTTAGGAAAGTCGTCTCAGATTCAGAGGTTGTAGTGGCATCTGTCCAGAAAAACAAGAAGAAAAAGCAGAAGGCTAGAAGAAAGTCCCAGGAAAACCAACTTCTAGCTCAAAATCTCAGCCACCTAGTTCTACTCCTCAGCCAACAGTTGGTCAACCTTCTCCCAGAGGGATGTCACAGAAAGGTCCTTGGCGAATGACAGTTGAAGAAGAGTTCCAGGAACCTGAGGAAATGTTGCTGTGTTTTAACAAGCGGCCACTAGAATTACAGGAGAGTGGTTGGTCCAGCAACAAGAAGATCAAGTACGGAACCAGTGACATGATCTGTGTCATAAGGGAGAGAGAGGAGGAGATGCTGAAGTGCCTTGCGGTGGTTGAACCAGATCAACCGCCTGCACCTCAATAAATATCCTCACCTGGAATTGTAGAGGTATTAACAGCGCCTCCACTCAGCATTATGTAGGTAGATTATATAAACATTATCTGTCTAAAATTTTATTTTTAATGGAGACTAAAGCCGGTAGCAGTACCATAGTAAAATGGCACCAAACCATGCCTTTTGGTCAATCTTTTGTAATAGACTCAATAGGGTCTTCTGGTGGTCTTGCTTTGTTTTGGATGAATGATATCCAGCTAGATATTATGATGCATGATCATAATATAATAGTAACTAGGATACGTGAACCCTCAGGGCTTAGTTGGTTAGCTGTTTTCTTGTATGGCCTTCCTGTAGGCAGGGTCGTTCAGAGTTTTGGTCTCATCTTAGTACCAATCTAAGCTCTTTTAATTACCCTATTTTGTTATTAGGAGATTTTAATCAGGCAGTTTCCCAGGAAGGTAAATGTGGTGGCAAATTAGTTAGCGATCAAGACACTATTCCAGTACGTCAATTCCTGACGCGGAACAATTTGGAGGAACTTAAACATATAGGCTGTTGGTACACCTGGACCAATAAAAGACAACAGGAAGAGAGGATTTATGAAAGACTGGACCGTGCCTTTGTCAACAGACACTGGCTATCTGTGTTTCCTTCAGCTTCAATCAGGAATCTACCTATTATGGTTTAGGACCATGCTCTAATTTTGGTACAAGTTAAGCGCAGGAAGAAGACAACCAGACCTCGTCTAATGTTTGAACAATTCTGGACAAAAACACTGACTTCTACAGATTTGGTTCAGTCTGCTTAGAATCATGATAATTTACAGATCAATAATCTCTAAGAGAAATTGTCTTATAAGCTTAAATCTAGTCTCATAGGACTGTCTAAATGGAGCAAAGATACCTTTGGTAACCTTGATAAACTAGTTACAAGGTTATCGGATCAACTGGCAATATTACAATCTCATTGGGAGGGAAACACTGATGATGATACAACATTTCATCTTCTTTCACAGAAGAGAGAAGAACTAGAGCAAGCCCTCCATTATCAACAGGATTATTGGCAACAACGCTCTAACTGATCTGGCCAATCCAATGAGACAAGAACACAAAATATTTTCACAAATGGGCATCCAGTAAAAAGGGAAATAAATGGATCACTGAACTTCAATCCAGTGATGGTCAGTGGTTATATGACTCACCACAGGTATCTTCAATAATTTTGAATCATTTCCAGGATCTTTATGATGTTCCCACATCAGGCTCTTCTGGGTCCTCAGTCCCACGCTCTCAAATAACCACTGACACAGTAAGCTCCCCATTTTTCCATCAACTCATGAACAACATGCAGGAAGGTATCAACCTAGATCAAAGAAGAGCTCTGGAAAATTCATTTTCCTCCCAAGAGATTTGGCAGGCTCTAAAACAGATGTCATCGTGGAAATCACCAAACCCAGATGGTATGCCTGCTGGATTTTATAAAACATATAAGCACATTATAGGCTCAGACTTGGAGACATCCATTTTGGAAGCAGCTGAAAATCAGCATTTCCCACATGAGTGGAATCAGACTAATATCGTCCTTATTCCCAAGTTGCCTAATCTAGTCAGTCCAGGGGATTTTAGACCAATTAGTCTTTGTAATGTGAAGTATAAGATTCTTTCAAAGATGATTGC